ATGATAAGATAATATGATAAGGTAATATGATAAGATAATATGATAAGATAATATAAGATAAAATGATAAGATAATATGAAAAGATAATATGATAAGATAAAATGATAAGATAATATGATAAGGTAATATGATAAGGTAATATGATAAGGTAATATGATAAGGTAATATGATAAGATAATATGATAAGATAATATAAGATAATATGATAAGGTAATATGATAAGATAATATAAGGTAATATAATAAGGTAATATGCCGAAAAGAGGGATTCCTTACTCAGGAGTCTGAAAAGATGAACCTGTTCAATACATTTTTACTACAGAGAGGCAGAAAATCTGATTATTGAGTTCAATGATTTTTTAAGATGAATTTTTCACAGAGTTTTTATTTATTTGCATGTCTGGTTTGTTCAATAAAAGAGTGGAAATGTTAAAAATGTTCAGTAGTTTTTTTTTTTGTTTGTTTTTTTACATTTTCACCTCTCTTCAGGAGTTCATGTACAGTTGCCTTCAAGTTTCTGGTGCTATGTGTTTCAAACACAATGATTAATGCTAGTTTCTAAGATTTATGCAAAAACTGTTTATGTAAACTTGAGCACAATTTTTCAGCATTTCCTGGAGACAACATGTCACTGGTGAAGTTATTTGTTTTGTGTTTATAAACAACATATGGTCATTTCAGTTGCAAGGTTACGTAAACGTTTATTTATGTATTTATATAAAATAAAATGAGTATTTACTCTCCCCCGAAAATAAACAAACAAATAAATAAATAAAATAAAATAAAATTCCTCAGCCCCCCCAAGCTAAATTCTTCTGGAGCCGGGTCTGCTTCTGACGTCAGTGGCCACGCATTGTTCAAGCCAAGAGCCATTGTGAGCCCTGGGGGCTAAGCACCCCTAAAGGGCATATTCTAGAATCGCCCCTGGACTTGTTGCCCACACGCTCCATCGCCTTTTGGCTGCAGGCGCTAATAAAACGTGACGCCTTCAGAAGTCTTTTACTTTGAAAGGTGTGACCGGATGTGAGGCGGGTCGGCAGCAGGAGGTGGACTGGTCTGTGGGAACAGATGACTGGAGGCTTGCTGCGGACCAGTTCGGCTCCAAAGACTGGACCAGGTTCTGAAAAGTTCCCGTCGATGCGGTCAGCGGGCGCAGCGCGTGCACGGAGCATGTTTTCAGGGTGAGTCCCGTCGTGTTTACAGGTGCTCGTGTCGCACGCACGCGATAATTGGCTTCTGTCGGAGTTTGTTGCTGTGCACGCGCTGCAGAGACGGAGGGCTCCATTCTACCTGCGGGGCTGTTGTCCCCACATCATCATCATCATCTTCTTCATGATGGAGCCTGTCGAAACTGACATGTCTCCTCGTGGGGGAGCTCACACGTGACGTAAGCGTTGTAAGGTTTAGAATTTACGCTAAATAGTTAATTAAAGGTTGCGCGTGACTGCGGCCTGATTGGTCCTCGTGGTGTTTTGTTTTTCTGCACTGAGTGGGGTTCCTGTTCTGTCCACGCTCCTGGACATTCATTGTGACCCCTTTGTTGTCCCTGTCCTTTGTGTTGATGCTGCAGCCTGTTTGTGTCAGGAAGGGGACCCTGCCCCCATCCATGTGACCCCCCCCCCACCCCACCCACCCATTTAGCCCAAATTATATAACAAAAAGGTTCCTGTTTAAAGTGTTGCTGTCGTGCTGCAGTTATTTCAATAACCCTGAAAGGTAGAGACAAAGTGAAGCTGCATGGATGCTGCTGGGTCACATCTGTTTAGAATGAAGCACAGGGACAGAAGGCAGCCCCCCCCCCCCCCCCAGGGTGTTTTCAATTAAATTCAGTTCAGTTTATTTCTATAGCACCAAGTCACTACAGAAGTTGTCTCAAGGCACTGAACAGAAACATTCACATCAAAAGAGCCAACTGGTAAAAGTTTTCTTTCTAAGGAAGCAGCAGATTACATCAAATCTTCACTTTGTCACAGTCTCAAGTTCAACTCTCTTCATTGTCATTCGTGTCACATGTGGTACATGAGGCGGAACGAAATCGTCTACTCGAGATCCCAGTTACACTCAAAAGAGCAAAAAAATACAAAGTATAAAAAGGAACAGTATATAAGATAGACACTAACATAAACTCCCATCCTGAGCAAGCACAAAGGCAACGGTGGAAAGGAAAAACTCCTTTTAACAGGAAGAACCCTCCAGCAGAACCAGGCTGTGCTGGGTTTGAGAGAACAGGAAGTAGAAAGCAACACAGAATGACAGGTCCAGGTGTACTTTCTATCAGAAGAAAGACAAAAACACGTTGATAGAAATAATTACAAATACAAAACTGGTAGAGTAGAGCAAGTAAAGACAGTAGGAGAGTCTAAGCAGTAGACTAAGGGATAACTCAGGAAACCCAAGCCAACCCTAACTATAGGATTTATCTAAAAGGAAAGTCTTAAAACTGGACAGTGTGTCAGCCTCACGGACAGAAACTGGAAGTTGGTTCCACATGAGAGGAGCCTGAAAACTGAAAGATCTTCCTCCCATTCTGCTTTTGAAAACTCTAGGAACCACACCGCTTTATAATATAGCTGCTTTTCTTTCGTTTTTATACATTTTCTTTTATTTACTTTTTATTTTATATGCTTTTTTTGTGATTGTCTATTGTTGTCTGCACCTCTTCTGTGTTCTTTGTTTAAAACGGGTCTCTCTTGTAAACAAGTCCCCGCGGCTCAATGAGACTAACCTGTAGAAACAAAGGTTAAATAAAAAAAAATACAAAGCTTTTGACAGACACAACCAGTGTGAAGATGAAGAGGGCAAACTGTCAGGATAAACAGCTCATAAGACTGAATTAAAATAGTGAGGAGTTAATGATTTGAGTGTGTTTAGCAGTCACGTGGACGGGGCACCGTGAAGTCATTGAGCAGATCATGAACTTTTCTGTAAAGCAAAGTGTCAAATGTGAAATCATCTCTAACATCTAATGCTTTGTTGAAATTGGATCATGGAACTTGAGGGAAATGATGGCAACTGCAACAAAATAGCCAAAATGGTGAAAAATGGCACAATGCTCTGTCAGTTCAGCATTTTTATAGACCGCCAAAACATATCAAAGATAATCTCTTTATTAAATCGGCCCTATAAGGTTGAAATGACAACTAGAGACGTTGCATTTCCTGGGAAAATGCAGTGTGAAGGCTTATTGTTGAAGAACTTGCTGAAAAACAGCTGAAATTAGCTAAAGCCATGCTGAAATGTAGCTGAAATGGAAGAAAAATCCTAAGTTAGCAGAAGAAACCATCACAATTTTGTTCCACCACATGTACCACATGTGGTGCGAATGACGAATAAAGAAACTCTGACTCTGAAAGCAGAAAGAACACATATTTGCTGAATTAGGTTTAAATAAGCAGAAATGAGCACAAAAATTAGGAAACTAGCTATATATTAAAAAAGAGATTAACAAAAATTGAAAAAAATAGCTGGAAAAGTAGCTTAAAAGGCAGAAAAAATGTTACTTCCAGAAAGAAGTGGAAGGAGCTGAAATGAGCTAAAAATGCGGAATGAGCTGAAAAAGCTAAATTTAATAGGGATAGTAGCCGAAATGGCAGAAAAAAGCTGAAAGTAGCATAACAAGCAGAAATTAACAGAAATATGTTAATTAGATTTAAAGTAGCAGAAATTACCACAACAAAACTTGAATTTATCTGAAAACATCTGAAATTAGCTAAAAAATGCTAAAAAAAAAAAAAGTAGCTGAAGAGGTAGAACCAGCTAAAGTTTGCAGACAAAAGGAAAGAACACATTTGCTTAAAGAAGCATAAATTAGCACAAAAAAGTGGAAATTATCTGAAAAAAGCTGAAAAAGTAGCTAAAAGGCAGAAAGAAGCTGAAATTACAAGAAGGTAGTGGAGAGAGCACATTTTTGCTGAATTAGGCTGATAAAAGTTTTAAATGAGTGCAAAAATGTGGAATTATCTGAAAAACCTTAAATTCGCATAAAACAGCTATATATTAGCTGAAATAATAGAAAAAAACTGAAATTTACAGAAATAAGCTGAAAGGAGCATAACCAGCTGAAATCAGCAGAAAAAAGTTAGAAGAAACTCAAAGATGTTGGTTAGCAGAAATGAGCACAAAACAGCTGAAATTAGCTAAAAGTAGCTGAAGATTTTTAATTTGCACAAGGAAGCTGAAAGAAGCTGAAGCAGAACCAAATGTGAAAGGCGCAGTAAAAGGTTGTAAACACTTCTAAAGATTTGAAGGATGTAAAATAAGCTCAACTCATTTTCTATGAGGAAAAAAAATGGCAGAAAAGGCAAAATATTTCAAAAAGCTAAAGTTACAAACCAAAAGTCATAGCAGGATTGTCCCGAAAGAGCTGAATGTTTTGATTTATGATTTGTTGAAATAGCTGAAAACTGCGGGAAGAAAATTGCGCCGAAAAATGTACGGAAGAAAATTGGATCACAATAGAGTGAGCGCTTCATAAGAATTCACACAGTTAAAGCCTCACAGAGGTATTTATCTCAAAGGGCTGTACAAATAAAGTGTATGTTTATCTTATATTTTTTATCCAAATTTAAATGTTGAGGATTAGATCTTCCTTCTGTCTCATATGTAAATCTTACAATAAATGGTTTAGAATGACTTTTTTACTCTTACTGTTTGTGGCCTTATAGTTTGTGAAATTTAAATGACAAATGTCCTGATGCTCAATAATACAGGTAGATGAATCTAACAATGTTGAGTCAGGTCCTCTGGAGAGATTCTTTGTTGAAACGTTTTGTCTTTTATCCACAAGACTTCTTCAGTTTGAGGAGCTGCAACAAACTCAGTCTTATAAACAGCACCTTAGTGGATCAACCAGTTTGTTGTTGACATCCAAAACTAGCTGGTCACATGCAAAAGGAGAACCATCAGACTAACAGTTGATCATTAATGCCCTCATGGCCACTTGCTATCCACAGGGGGCTGAGTGATATTCGCAATAACAACATTGTAAGAGGGGGACAGTTGAACACGGAGGCCTCCACCCCTGTTTAACGATGGACGGGATCTATTCTCAAAGATGGCTTCCTTTACGCCTCTCAAGCCAACGTTCCTCTTTATCATGGATTTTGCACCTTTGTCCCTGAAAGAGTGACCGCTGGCCTGCAGATGAGTGTAAACCACAGAGTCTACAATCTAGACCCACACAAACCAGTATTGCAGTTTGACTCCCATCACCCTCTGGAGCACAAGTTAGGAGTCATCAGGACTCTGTACCACAGAGCAGACAATGTCCCCACTAACTCAGGAGCCAGGCAAAAGGAGAAATCCCACACAAGACAGGCTCTAGAGCAATGTGGATATCCTAACTGGGCCTTCCTGAAAGCAGCAAAGAAACCCAAATGGGACTCCAATCATCCATCAGGTGAAAAGGAGGAACCCAGACCAGTGGTCATTCCGTATGTTGCGGGAGTATCAGAGAAACTGAGACGTTTATTTTCTAAACATAACATCCCAGTGGCTTTTAAACCCCAAAATACATTACAGCAAAGACTGGTCCAGTCGAAAGATCCAGTCCCCCGGCACAAACAGAGTAATATTGTGTATGTTGTTCAGTGTCAGGAGGGTGATCAGTCTTACATCAGGGGAACTAAACAGCAACTGGCCAAAAGGATGGCCCAGCACAGAAACGCAACATCATCAGGCCAGGACTCTGCGGTCTACACTCATCTCCAGGCCAGCGGTCACTCTTTCAGGGATGAAGATGTTCACATCCTGGACAGAGAGGAACAATGGTTTGAGAGAGGAGTAAAGGAGGCCATCTTTGTGAAAAGAAATCGTCCATCATTAAACAGGGGTGGAGGCCTCCGTGTTCAACTGTCCCCCTCTTACAATGCTGTGATTGCTAGTATCACTCAGCCTCCTGTGAATAGCAAGCGGCCATCAGGACATGAACAATCAATTGTTAGGCTGATGGTCCTCCTATATCATGTGACCAGCTAGTTTTGGATGTCAACAGCAAGCTGGTTGATCCACTAGGAAAAGGTGATATTTATAAGACTGAGTTTGACATGGCTCCTCAGACTGAAGAAGTCTTTTGGATAAAAGACAAAACATTTCAACAAAGAAAAATCTGTCCAGAGGACCTTATTCAACCTTGTTAGAATAAATGACAAATTATTTTTACTAACTAACTTATTCTGTGTCCTCCAGTGCAGTCAGACAGGAGGACCACCCCAGGCATTTGATGCTGAGCAGCTAAAGGTCAACACTTATTGCATCTGTCATGGCAGACAAAGAATCGCTGCCCGTTACTCCAGGGCAGGTCTACATTGAGGTGGAGTACGACTATGAGTACAAGGCAAAAGAAAAGATGGTGACCATTCGTCAGGGAGAATGCTATTTGCTGGTGAAGAAGACCAATGAGGATTGGTGGCAGGTGAGAAAGGAGGAGGGCGCAAAGGCTTTTTATGTGCCAGCGCAATATGTCAAGGTAGTGCGTCAGGCAATTATGCCCCCCCAGAAACCCGCCCTGAGAGCCAAACCTACCGTTTTGGATATATGCAAGGAGTCCAATGAGAATTTCAACAGACCACATCCGGAAATGACCAGCTTTGGTCACCCGTCGCCCTCTTCCACCCCCTCGCCGTCTTCTGACCCTGTCACTCCACCCGTTCTCTCAAAGGATACAAATCAGAATGTGGGGAGTCCTCACCATTGCAAGCTGGTAGCAGAACTGGTGCTGTTTCACAACAACAACAACCATCACCACAGCAACGGTTTGTTGTTTCCTCAAACACAGGATGATTTACCTCTGCTCAAAGTGGGAAACAACCACCGCAAAAGTTTGGATGGAAACAGGAGCTCCACACCAGGGGAGGGGTCCAACAAGCTCCGCCACGACTCTGAATCTGGGGACGAGTTGAGCAGCAGTTCAACGGAGCTCATGCAGGTAAGAAAGGGCTGTTTTAAAGATTTGATTTTTATGAATTTGAGACATTTTCTCTTGTTCCTTTTTTGATAGTTTTGAAGGTCCCTATAAGTGTTTAAATGCCAAAATTGAAAGTGGAACTAAACATTTGATAAAGTTCCACATACTGTGCTGATTTCTCTGCTGGGACCAGCACAGATTTGTGACTAGTCTGCAATTTATATCTTAATGTACTCACTATTGATGTACTTGTGTCCCTCTGCTCCATCCATCCATTATCTGTACCCACTTCTTCCTTTCTGGTTTTTTGGGGGTCACTGGTGCGAGAGGTGGGGTACAAGTCGCACTTCTATCACAGGGACACAAACGAGACAAACAACCATTCACTCTCTCACTCACACCTAGAGACAATTTAGAGTTACCAGTCAGCCTAACATGCATGTTTTTGGTCTGTGGGAGGAAACTGGTGTACCTGGAGAAAACTCATGCATGCACAGAGAGAACATGCAAACTCCACTCAGAATGGTCCTCAGCCGGGATTCGATCTGGCAACCTTCTTGCTGAGAGGCAGCTGCCCTACCAACTGTTCCACCATGCTGCCCTCTCCCTCAGCTCATTAAAAAAAAAAAAAAATTAACTAACAACAAAGGCTTCTATTGTCTCAATCAAAATCTTCTACATTCTTTACTCCTGTTTTATTTCAAAGTTGTATTTGTTCATCATTCTTCCACTCCAACACAACTGAATTGGCACTAGGCCTGTCACGATAACAAATTTTGCTGGGTGATTAATTGTCTCAGAAATTATTGCGATAAATGATAATATTGTTTTAAATTTGACAATAATTAGTAATTATTGTCAAATTTAAGAAGAAATGTTGGCTAATTTTTGTATGTAGTACCTTAATTTGACTACTGGATGGCAATATAAGACCGTTTGAACCTAAGGATGGATAGTGAGGGAGTGAGCAGCGTGTCTCTTTAAGGAAAATGGGTGGGAGGCCCCTTGACGTGACATGGGCTGTCTCTCCTTCCTTTTTTTTTCGATTCTCAAAATGGCGGACACTCTGTGTGGTTTGAGCTCTTCAGCATAGCATTTTTCACACACAGCTTTTAATAAAACATCAGTGAACAAGTTCTCAGCTTCTTTTTGCAGAGAAAAACGTACTTTTTACACAAAGGCACGGGTTTCAACTGTGAATTTTGGAGCTTTGACAAGACGGAGGTTTTTTCCCCGAGGTCAGCTTGTTAGCTTAGCTCGTAGCTTAGGTTCACTGCTTAGCTGCTTTTAACGATCCAAAAACGTGATTTTGGACGGTTAAAACAGATTTTAAAGAGAAATGGAGGGGTCAGTGAAGAGCACCGGAGTTGAGCCTTTTTGTCATCCAGTGTCTTCAGTAGAGAGAGAGAGACATGAAGAAACAATAAAGCCGATAAATGAAAATGAGGTAAATAATCTTAATTTATCACGCAATTAATTGATTTATTGTTTATTTCAACAGGCCTAATTGGTGCAACACTTTTCAGATACAAGGGGTCAAAATAACAAATGGATGTTGACTGAAACGGTGCCCTTAAGGCGTTTTTGTCTGGCTTGTTAGATGGGATCATTTTTTAGGGAGGAGGTCAACTGATGCATATGGGTTTTGTGTTTGGGATTATATGCCAACAGTTTGTTCATGAAATGGGGTAATCTGTAATCAATAATCTTTGGATGCATTTCATTAAAATAATCACAGAACAACCACTTAATTTAGTGGTTTTGTCCTTTTCATTGTTCCTTTTACTTTTCAAGAAAAAGTGGGTAAGGTGTTTTTTTTTATTTAAAGACTTGCGCTTTGAGGGTGTTTATGTCTTCAAAGTGTCTTTTATTTGCAGCAATTAAGACTTTTGTGCCCCCCAGTGAAAACATGAATTAAATTTTCTTCCAGTCTACAAAGTGGTAGTCAGGCCTCCTCCCAATGTTATATTTGTTTCATTTCTCTGCAAGAACTGGGGTTTATCTCCCCTTTTTATCAGCACAGATAAAAAATAGTAGAAAACAGGGCAGTGGAGGTCCAAATGGTACCACCTTTATGAGTCTTTTCAGGCTGTAGCTGTTTCTAGGCGGGTCAGCGTGTTTGATGGCTCCAAATACTGCTCGTGTTCTTTGTTCCACATGCTACATCAGCAGCCTTCTCCACCATGGAGCGAACAAAGAGACAGGCTTGAAAAGAATCTAGGTCATTCTGCTGAGGATCCGTGCACAGCCCCCAGTTCCCCCACCACGGGGACATTTGTGAGCATGCTGGAGTGTGTGGCGTGGTACGCCACATGAAAGGAGGAAATGTGTGAATGGCAGCTAATTTACACTTTCAGAGTCTTGAATGCAACAATTTGAATCAAAGATATCCCCAAAAAATTATGTTAAGGCGAGAAAATGTTTTTTTCTTTGTACACCTTACCAATTTTTAGGGGAGTTAGTTGTAAGCTTGTTAAAAATAAACAAACATTTCACTTAATTTCACCATTGCCAGTATTTTATAGACTTTTTTTGGGTCCTTTTTATGTTAGGAAAGTACGCTGGCAGTGTGTCTAAGAAATGTTGTTGATAGGGTTTGGTAAGAGCTCGCTGTCAACTTGAGCACTGTGTTGTTGGGGCAGGTGGAAGCCACACTCAGTTCATTTGTGGTGTTTTCTTACTTTGCCCTGTTTAGAATATTGTCAGGAAAATAAGTGTTATAATAAGTATTACTGAGCATGAACTTTGGTGACCCTTTAGAAAGTTTTTTTTTTTTTTTTCATTTTGCTTTTTCCATTTTTGCTACCTTCATGGCAGTGAACTAGCCTTAATTTAATCCCAAATAAATACATCAGAATTAAATTATTTTTCTTTGGTTTGAGCTTATTTAGATCAATGCTCATTTTAGAAATAATTCTGACATTTTTTCCTCACACTCTGTTTTGTTTTGTTTCTATCGGACATTAAAAGCATTAATTCATTAAATTAATTTAGAAAAATTGAAGGTTTCAAATGGCATTAAAGAAAAATGAGGTAAGCTATTTTGGAAACGACTAAGTCTGACTTGCTTATGGGGATAAAATATTGGTGTTACATTAGTGTAACACTTGGAACCATTATTAACTTAATTGTTTCTGTCTGGTCAATGCTCAATTGTAAGAAGATCATGTGTTAGAGGAAAACGGGAAAACCTCAGGAGAAATAGGAGAATGGATAAATGCAAACTCCAATTTAAGTGCAACGACAACAGTTTAATTACCAAGAGAAAACTGATGATACGCAGAAACTTTTTATTGAATTTAAAGCATTAGTTAACTATAAAAAACAATTGATAAACAATGGAGCCCGTAAGGGCTTTTAGGAAAAAATGTATATTGTGTTTTCTTACAATTACTATTGATTTACCTCTGGCTCTGAAGAAGGGGAGCAAACACACCACCATCATTAAGAGCAACAAATCCATTGTGCCACATTCTTTTAATGTCATTTAAATTGTGGAATTTTGTGCTTTTACATAGGTAATTCTGTTTGCACCAAATAACTGTCTCATTGTGACGTTGTGCTGAAGTAGGGTTTGGTAGGAGACATGTTGCACACTGTTCTTTACACATACTGGTCTTATCCAGAATTTTACACACAGTTCAATCATGTTTTATCTGCTAACTTTCATTTGATGAATGTTGTTAAGGTAAAGCATATGCTTTTTGATAAATGGCACTGTGTTTCATTGTCATTTATTCATTATGTTGTACTTAATAAAATCTACATATGGATAATAATATAAACAAATGAGAGTAAATGGCATATGGAGTGGCAGTAAAAATTAGTATACACATACTGTATATGGTGATGCTCCACGCCTCTTGGTTCTGCAATGCCAGTTTAAATAAGTTTGAATTAAAAAGAAAACCTTTAAAACTAGGGCACATGACATATTCTTCTGTAAATCAAAACAGAAGTGGTGTAATAGTGTATGGAAGGACATTAAAATGGTACTTAAAAAAACTTATGAGCTTTATGCATTCACTGTCAATGTTGTTAAAAATGTTTGAAAAAATGGCAATAAATTGGCATTAAAAAACATTAAATTTGATTGGCTTATTTCTGCAGAAATCCTGTGGCCAAGTCCTTCAAAAGACCAACTGAATGAGTGAGTGAATGGATAAACAAATTGATCTAAAGAAAATTTCTGATTTTGCTTTCATTCAGAAGCCAGTTGCTCACATGATCTACCATTAATGTCTTGACTTGTTGACCAGGTGGCCATTTGCCGCCCCCCCTACCCCCCCCCCACAAAAAAAACAACAACAACAAAAAAAAAAACGGACTCAAACTAAAAAACAAACTATGCTGCACTTTTCTTAGACCTGTCTAAAGCTTTTGACACTGTGGATCATAAAATCTTGTGTCATAAACTCTCAGAAATCGGTTTCTCAGAACACACCATTGGTTGGTTCTCTAACTATCTCTCAGACCGGAGGCAATGTGTTCAACATAGTGGTACTTCCTCCATTATATTCCCTATTTAACAGTCAACAGTGGTGTACCACAAGGCTCAGTCTTAGGACTCTTTACAATCTACTTACATAATGTAGGTAAAAACATCCCTGATGCATCCATACATTTCTATGCTGATGACACAGTTGTTTATTGTCAAGCTAAAACAGTTGATAAGGCTTTCCAGCTTTTGCAGTCTGCATTTGACATCATCCAGTCTGATTTGTTTCACCTCAAACTTGTCCTAAATGCCGACAAAATCAAAGGGATGCTTTTCTCAAATGGGAAGTCCGGATTGGTCCCAGCAGTTCTTCCTCTGATTTCATCCTCAAATGGTGTCCCCATTGAGTTTGTTGATTCCTATAAATATTTGAGTATCTTGGTTGACTCACATCTCTCTTTTAAGCTCCATGTGGAAAACCTAGTAAAGAAACTGAAAGTTAAACGGGGTTTCTTTTTCAGAAACAGATCCTGTCTAACTCTGAATGCTAGGAAACGCCTTGTATCTGTTACTTTCCTTCCCT